GGGGGGGGGCATAACTGTGCTTTGTTTTCCTCAGAGTGACAAGAACCATCAGTCTGTGTGCATCAAGTATGAAGAGCTGTTGGCTCTTGAAACCAAACCAAAACCTAAAGCTTTAAAAAGTCATTTAAGTGCAGCCCGAGCTCTAGAAAACAAAGACAAAAACAGAAAGATGTGTGAATATTTGTGTCCTTCAGTTCAGCAGCAGATGAAACTTCTCCACTCCGCCTCACTCGATGCCTTTCAAACTGTGGTAGATGTGTTTCGGCAAAATCACATATCCCTCACTGAAGCCCGGCTCCGGCGCCGACTGACGGGCCATCCTGGGTGCCGCCTCCCGGGCGGTCTTCAGCCTCTTGAGCTGCCTCTCCTGCCGCCGACACTTCTGCTGCGTCGTCTTCAGCTTCTTCCTCAGATGTTCCACCTGCTCCTCCAGCAGCTCGATGCGCCTCTTCTGCTGCGCCGAGTCCTCTACTGTGTAGTTGTGGTCGCAGGAGACCGCCGTCGTCGTTGAGGTCGTTGTCATCGCGACGCTGCAGGTGTCAAGCGAGTTGCTCTCAGGCTCCTCCTCCTCCGCTGGTTCAGAGGTCAGAGGCAGAGAAAGCGGGAAGAGGTTCTCAGATGGGAAGGGATCCTCCAGGGACTCTGACTGCTAGAGAGAAAAACACGAGTTAACTAATTGCTACCTAACTGAAGTTAACCTGATCTACTTATGTAGCTTACCTAAACTATCTGCTTAGTTTGAGCTGTCTCTCAGATCTGTGCTCTTATCTTGAAATAAAGAAATGTGACTGGAAACTCTTGGGAGACTCCTGGAAAAATAAAGCCCTGCCGGCTTTAGTTAGGTCACCTTGATGCTGAGGTTGAAGGTGAACAGCGACGGCACAGCGCTCTCCTTCAGCACACGGTTGTTGCACTCCCTCTTGAAGGAGTCTTCGGTGAAGTGCTGGGAGCAGATGTTGCTGTACTTTGTTGGCTTGAAGTTGTTTCTCCTCATCGCAGCCACCCATTTACAGCAGATATCTGGACGGGCCAGAGGAAACCTGGCAAACAAGTGATAATAATAATACACAGAAACGTCAAAACGCTTCTGTATGATTTGGGGATTATTTTCTGTTATCAGTTTAATGTAATAATTAGTTTAAGTTGCTTATGAAGTACACTTTATGTCTTTGGTAAAAAACAGAACAAAAAAACAAAACAAAACTGAAGCGTTAACCCTTTCTGTTACTTGTTTTGAGACTAAAGTTGGGGACTAAAGAAATGCGCATTAACTCCCGGCAGTAAGCATAAACACATTAATCCAAACTCCAGTTAAATTTGGAGGAATTCACTATCCCCTTATTTACGGAAAGTCAAACATATTTAAGAATATAACTGCAAGACTTTATAAGTAAATGTGTTCCGTGCTGATAACTTCGGCTTGCAAAAAAGCGAAATAGCCGTGAAGTTCTAGTAATATCTAAATTTTTGTGCCTCGGTATAGCCACTATAGAGAAACTTGTGACTTTAGACTTGATAAAAACATTTGATTTCATCAAATAAAAATAGCATCTGTTGACTTTTATGTAGCCGGATTTTAGCAATGAAACCTGCAAACACGTAAAATGTTCCGTGTCCTACTCCACATGTTTTGTACTGTTGAGGAAGAGCAGTTAATCTTTAATGAGGCAGATTAGTGAACGCAGGCTGGTGGACGTTGCTCAACCACCATGTCAGGACTGCTAATGCTACCCAGCTCGCTGAAACACACAGACACACATTGGCACTTAACTTACTTGTGGAAAGAAATCTCTTTGTCTTTGTGGTAGCGGTTCTTACAGCCGTACGCTGAGCACGTCTGAACCATGGCTGAATATCCAGACAACACTCACTCACAGCCGGACCAGAACTCCACGAAGCTCCGCTGGTGCTTCTTGTCACCCTGCACACAAGCTTCACTGCCACTAACAATGATGGCGGCGAAGAATTAGTCACCTGACCGGCATCCCCGCCTCTAATTGGTGGAGCTTTCTGTCGTTACTTTCCTATAATATCTCAAGAAGTCCACCAGGGGGAGACAAATTTGATAAAGAACATCAATTATATATATATATATATATAT